AGAGAGAGAATTATTTTCTTTTTTTATTTTTCTTTTAATTATGAAAATATTAAATAAATAAAAAAACTGAAAAAAAACAAAAAAGAATGGTAAAATCATCTTTACAAAATTTTTTAAAGTAAATTGGACCAAACTCGCAACACAATGAAAACTTTGGACCTGTGGTGCTTGTCCAAAACTTTTTGGACCAAAGTGACAATTTTTAGCAAACCACAAGGACCATTTGTGCAGTTTTTTCGAAAAACTTTCATTCGGTTACACAAGCTTAAAGTTTTACTTAAAAAAAAACTTCAATTTCAAAAGCTATTTGCATTGAAGCAGTCGTTTAACAAAAAAAAAATATTATTACAATGGACTTAATTACACTTTTTAAAATTAGTGATACGAAGTTTTAGATTAGTCTCTTTCTTCTTCTATCCGAATTGTAAACTAATAACTAAAAGATATATAACGGCTAGGGTTTTGTATTAATATCAAAGATAAGTATAAATACAATGAAAGGGAAATACATAATATATAGACTAACTAATTAGAGTTGCATAGCTAAAAGGTCCAATAATAAAACCCAATACAAGATAAAGACCAAAATCTTATTAGGCTAACATCCCATCTCAAACTCACATTGTAACAACAATAAGCATTGAGAGTTTGTTAGACAAAAAATGAAATCGAGGAGCAGTCAATGGTTTCGTAAGAATATCAGCAATCAACAAAGAGGAAGGAACATAAGGAAGGGAGATAGTGCCCTTCTGGAGATGATGACGTGTGAAATGACAGTCAATTTCAATGTGCTTTGTGCGTTTGTGAAACACTGAATTCTTGACAATCATTATCGCACTCTCGTTGTCACAATACAAAGGGACAGGCTGAGAGATGTGAACGCCCATATCTACAAGAAGCCATCTCAACCAAACAATCTCACAACTGGCAATAACCATGGCTCGATACTCAGATTCTATAGAAGATCGAGAAACAACATCTTGTTTCTTGCTTTTCCATGATATTAATTGTCACACCCCCAAACCAAGGATGGCGGAAACGTCTGTGGGTGGAGGACTTCATGTATAGTATCACAACAACGAGTATAATAGTGCTCAAAGTAAATACAACTATTATAAATATAATGAGTACGTGTTTCAAAATCGATTACAATATAATGACAAAAAGTTTTGACTAACGCCTAAGCGTTCCATCCTCAAAAGCTGGCAGTCACCTGTTTTTATTGATTACCTGAGAATACAAGTACATATTGAAAGAGTGTCAACGATTTCGTTGGTGAATGCATAAGCTTTTGTATATAGAGTGGAAATCCTTTCTTTGTAAATGTAAAGCATGCACAAGAAAAATCCAATATTTTCCTTATAAACTGAGTTGCAATCTTAAGACCCAAAGACCAAAATGTATAAGTATTTTACCATACTTATAATAGTGTATGCAGTTTTATGAAAATAAAACCCCTTTTGAAAATAGAGATCCCCGTAAACTATGTGTGTTGTTATTTCCCTATGTGAGTTATTATAACCATACTGACTGACATAGCAGCCTGTGACGACGTTCTTCAGGCATCAGAATGTTATGACATTTGTCACCCCAGACCTGTCGGTCTAGTTGTTGCATGCATCTAAGGTGTGGGTTGTCAATCCCAATATAGATCTATATACAAGTATCACGCTCTCCCTACAAGAGACTCTGGTTATAACTACAAGATTTTAGCCAGTACTCTAAGAGTACAATAAAGTAGTGTCTCACAACTAGATTTAACAAGTTTACGTAAAGTATAATTGAAAACCTTTTTTTAGTAGTAGGAATATAACCTTCCTTAGCAAGTTCATAGAGTTGATGTAACATAAACTATACCTATTATAACTTATCATGAATGTACGTAGTAATGAAAAACTTGTTTGTAGTGAGAATTGAACCTTTTCATAGTGAATAGTAATTTAGCAAATCATAAACTATACATATTAAAGTTCATCTAATATGTTTGTAATGACTAAGAACCCTTATAATGAATGGATATTTCTGTTATTTAGTGTAACTTA